CTAAACCCTAACCCCCTAAACCCTATCCCAAAGACGCCGAGTCGCAGTTTCAGTGTCCAGGAGTCCAGGGTCATCGACTCAACTGCTGCTAGCCCTAACCACACTAGAAGAGGACAGAAAGCATCGTGAAAGAGCCCCTAGGTTTAGGGTTTAGGGTTTAGGGTGGGGGGGGGGAAGGGAAGCTCTGCGAGAGTGTGAATTCCCCAGGTTCCCGAAGCAGGTGCTTACCAGCTTCGTGGTGGCCTGCCTGCATGCTCCTGCCTTCCCCCACAGCTTCTTTAGAACTTTTGTCTGGCTACTCTTCCAAGCCTGGTCATGCTCCAAGGGGTGTGGCTGTAGGACAAGGGAGACCTTAACCAAATGCCTTCTACAGTAGTAGCTAACCGCTAGATACATCCTTAAACCCACCCTAGCCCTAAACCTTGAGCACCACCCAAACCCGCATTCCACTAAACCCGAACCCTAAACCCTCGATCCGAAACCCTAAGCCCTAAACCCGAACCCTAACCCCTAAACCCTAAACCCGAACCTTTTAAGCCCTCGATCCTAAACCCGAAACCCCAAACCCTAAACCCGAACCCTAAACCCTCGATCCCAAACCCGAAACCCTAAACCCTAAACCCGAATCCTAAACCCTCGATCCTAAACCCTAAACTCGACACCCCAAACCCTCGATCCCAAACCCAAAACCCCAAAACCGTAAGCCGACAGCATCTTCACAAACCTATAAGGGTACATATAGGGTATATAGGAGGTGTATAAGGATCCCAGGGTTAAGGGCCCATGCTAGGGGCCCATGGTTTCAAAGCCGGAGCGAAGGACCCCAAACCCTAAACCCGAAACCCCATTAAACCCTAAACCCTAAACCCTAAGCCCCAAACCCCAAGCCCCAAACCGACAGCATCTTCGCAACTCTAGGGTTAGAAGTAGGGGCCCCTAATATGGACCCTTAGGCCCATGGTTTCAAAGCCGGAGCCAAGGGCGAAGGACCCGAAACCCTAAGCCCTTAACCCTAAACCCTAAACCCGAACCCGAAACCCGAAACCCTAAACCCTAAACCCCAAACCCCAAACCCTAAACCTAAGCCGCAGCTTCGCCCCAAGGATTCTTTCCCTGTGGTTTGGAACTTGGGTCCGAAGACCGAAACCCAGGTCTACGAGGCCGGCGCTTGCTCTTCCTGCAATCTGGGTGTATAAAATCTCTCTAAGTCTCTATATTGCAATTGGTGTTTGTAGTCTTTCTCTAAGTCTATATATATATATA